AAGTCAACATCCATTTGACTGGACTCGCGGAGTCCTTCTCTTATTAACCCGGTCCTACTCAACCAGTCCTTCTTCCCACTCACTGAATCACCCTTAACTCATTACTTGGGATGATTGAACCAACTTGCGACCCGAATCGCCGAGTTTGAAGAACAACTCGCCGAGTTCCAAGCAATCTTCATAGGACTCACCGAGTTGTTCATCCAACTCGCCGAGTCTAAGGCCATCTTCATGGAACTCGCTGAGTTCCTCCTTGGGACTCGCCGAGTCCCTATGACCCATTTCCCATATAGGCCAAATCTGAGACATGCAACGCTTCAAAACCACATATCCATGTTCCTTGAGCATGCTTATCACGTAAAGTTTACGTGCATGCATGGCCCTATAAGCTCATAAGGCCAAAACCAAACTCTTAATGAGGTCATACACTTAATGGGGACCTCAATCACTTCAACCACAGAACTTTATGCTTCTAATTCATCCAATAAGTCTAGATCTGAAGTCCTTTTGGATCATTAAGCACAATACATGGAGTTTGGTGTTTTAGGGCTTGAAAACCACCAAATTGGGACAAAAATGGTAACTAATGACCTAAAGATCAAGGTAGTGACTTTTCTACCTGAATGGAAGCTTCTCCCTGAGTAGAGTTCGGGTCTACTCCTTTCCTTGCACTCTTCAACCACCTATTTCTTCTTCTAAGCTCCAAACGTCCTTCACAAAGCCAACAACACTCTCAAGAACAATATGGGGGCTAGGGTCTCGCTCTACTGCTCTCTGGAAGTGTTAGGGACAAAGGAGGCCAAGTTAGAGCGTTTAAATAGGGTGCAAACACCCGGATTAGGGTTTTTTCCCAAACAGGATCTACTCGCCGAGTCCGGGGACCGACTCGCCGAGTCCAAGGTCTAATTGATTGCGCCTTATCCCTCTCCTACTTGGCGAGTTGGCCCATCAACTCGCCGAGTCCAAAGCAAAATGCATTATTTTAAAAATGTAAATAGCAAGGAGTACGTACCGGGAACCAGGTGCTACAGGATTTGATTAAGGATTAATAGAAAAAGATTTAAGAGGTAGATAATGAATATGAATAGAGGACTTGATTAAGGATTAATAGCAAATGATTTAAGAACTAGGGATGAAAAAAAAGTAGGGTTTGCAATTATATAGAGTTGTGGCAGTTTTCTTAAGTAGTATGTGTGGGAAATTAAGAAAAAGAAGTTGATTAGAGATAAAATATGTCCACCTGTCATCACTTTATAGCATCCTTAAAATCCTAAAATACAATCAAAGAATTAGGTGCAAAAGACGTCACCACTTTATTAAATCCTTAAAGAACTAAAATACAATCAAATAATTAGGTGCAAAAGACAAAATCACTGACTAGTTATGTTTGTTGGCAAAGACATGTTCTATTCTCATCAACAAAAAAAATCGATGAAAATATCGAAACCTTACGGTGCATGAAAACCGTATATTATATTCGGTGGTACAAAATAAACTTCCGTCATTATGCTTTGTATATGAAAATATAACCATAGACAACATCTACATTATAAGGTAATATATTATTACACACTATAACCCAACCTATTATAATACACAAACACGCCAAATATACACGAAGACAATAGAAAATTAAAGTATACTAATTATTATCGTTCTTTGAAATGGACATCTTCTTATATGAACTTACGCATCCACTTCCTTTCCCTACAACAATCAATGCAATGTTTTCCCCTTCGATTCAATCCAGTGTCATGCAACGCCCTCACAAGTATTTGCATAAACAATACCTATAGAACCGGACTGCACACACAATTAAATCTGCTTTAATAACATATAACATACAACATGAAGAAAACACGCAGTCACTATTTGACACTAGCTCTATATATTGAACTTATATATTTAACTGGTGGAGTATGGAAACCCCCTCCATAACCAATTTTCACCCATAAGTCACCTTGTTTTACACCCTAGTCTGATGCCAAATTGAATAAAAAGGGTGAATTTTATGTCAGCAACCTACATTGATTTTGTATACCACAACATGAAATGCCAACCATATCCATGTGATCACTCTAAGATACCATATTTATATACGCAAACAATACCGGTTACAATGCAGCTAAAAGATCAAAAACTGCATTTAAACAACCAAATAGAACTCGTATTCGCAGCCAACCAAGATCCAACCCCAAATGTCATGTCATAAAATAAAGACACCCGAAAAGGCTATTATTCCTAAATCAAACTCAATTAGGCACGAGCACATGATCTAGAAATCCTCTTTTTGCGACAAACAAATGAAAATCACCTTAAGTTATTTATGATATTGATATGTTTTTGTTAAATTCTAGCAACATTTTAATAAAGAAACCAATTATAATAAAACAAAAATACTAAAAAAGGAGGGGGGGAGAGAGAGAGAGAGAGAGACCAAAATTGATGGTTTAGTATTTTTGAAGTTAAAAAGCAAAATTTCGGTTCATATTTGGTTTTTGTCAAAAACCAAACCGTTCTTACCCTAAATTGTCAACAAACTTTATTCAATTGTCATAAATTACGTTGTATTCTAAAAAATAATTTTCTTAAAAAAATGTTGTTTTCTAAAATGTTTTTTAAAGATATTAAAGGCTTTTCTACAAAACTCTTAGAAATATGGGTGTTTTTTGAAGAAAAAAAAATGCTTTTTGGATAAAATAGAGAAAAAATAGTATTAAAAAAAACTTCCCATAAAAATTTCAAGAAAGTTTACCCTACTAAGATTCGGTATATGGTAATACACATTATGTATGATTGTTCTCGTGTGTGTCTATATATATATATATATATATATATATATATATATATATATATATATATATATATATATATAAAAGCAACAGGTACGAATAGTTTTTTTTTTTTTTTTTCAGAAACTAGTTTCTATGGGCGATTAGTTCTTTTAGACGTTAAATATAAGTATGTTTTTTTATTATTATTTAAAAGTACACGTATCTTGTTATTATATATACATACTAATTTTGAAGTACCACATGAACAGTACTCTTCTGTGATCGGTGGAGATTTTTTTTTCTTTTTGTTGGTGGACTTTTTTTTTATTGGTTTCTGTACATTTGAGATAGGGATTTCCATGTGTTATCATACCCACTGTCCAGTGTATACGTGTTTTCCTCCATCGCTTCTGCTTCATTTATGTCATGCTCTCTTCAATACTATGGTGTCCTCCACCGTTTCGTTCCCCAATTAAATTACTCCACCACACCACCACCAACTCCAACACCGTTAACTACCCACCGATTGCCTTATATCCACTGCCATAGATTTCTCAAACGGCTTCTCCCTTTTTTCTTCCTTTTACTTGCACTTCCGTCGCATTTCGGAGTAGCCACCGGGGTTACCATCGATCAATCCACTACTAGAAAACAGCCCTTTAATGATACGCAAACAATGACACGCAGTGATTTACGATACACAAAAGCGGGCGCCCTAAAAATATTGTCATCTCTTCGAAAATTTAAAGGATAGAGGACACGTATTTATGCGTGCCTTGAAATTAGTGTTGAAAAAGAAAAAAAAAAAAGAAATACGGAGGGCACCTATCATAAAAAGCGTGTCGTGTAAAGACGTCGCTTTATATTTTTTTAAGAAGGCGCGTTCTCCATATTTTTTTGGGAATTGAAATCCAAAAAAAATTAAACACCCCACCTGGTACTCCTTCTCCTTCTAAAATCCTCTGCTAAGAACCCTAAATCATTCATAACCATTTTGCATTCATAAAAAAATTAAACATCCCGCCTACTACGACTCCCCAAATCACCCTAAATCATAAATCCCTAAATATCAAAAACCCTAATTTGTTCTTGAGAAACGGTGCCTTAGATCAAAAACTGTGAAGTCAACTGCGAATTAGTTCAGATTCTCTCAATCAAGAACCTCCCCATTCTATAACTCAGAAAAAGCATCAATGCACGCATATTACACGTGCACCGGAGTCAGCTGCTCGTTATCCCATATGGTCATTATCACAGCCTCGAGCTTTATCAACTCCTTCCGCAAGATCTTTCTCTTAAATTCTATCAATCCTAACCTTTCTCTCAATCAATAAACCCTAACCTTTCTCTCTCTTTCCTCGTTTGTATAAATCAATTCAGTCAATCAATGATGCCATCATACGTTTCTTTTCTCCATTACCCACTTTTTTTCCCCTAAAATTATATCTGGGTTTCTGTTTACTCATATGATTTCTCCAAGATTTTGATGCATTCATCGCTTACACATCTCTCAATTCTCTTTCTATTGGTGGATCTGCTCTTTTTTGCTCTCGATGGAGGGTATTTTGTCAGCATTTAATCTGGTTAACCGGTCAAGTGGTCAGAATTATAACAAATTGAAAAACACAATGTCAAATTTGAGACAAAAAAAAAAACAGTATCAAATCAGAATTTTGGTATAAACTAAATATCTTTTATGTTATTTACCCTTTTTTTAATCACATAATGTAGTTTTTTTATTATTATTATTTTTTATTTACACTAGTAAAATTTTAAACTATTATCATTTATTTAACTTTTTAATTAAAACATGGGTTTATGAGGATTGAGGGCCTCCATTTCACTATCGAACCGTTCAATATGTTTTAGTATCTTTCATTTAATTTAAATTTATCGGAATAAAAGGTTTAACACATTACATAACACATTACCCTTTATCTTCTCCATTCACCCTCACTGAAAGCCATTAGTTGGTAAAACATATAAGGTAGTTGTTATTCTAGATAACCGAGCAAAATTAGTCCTAAGAATAAATAAAGATAAGTGGACTGCTATTTGAATGCAATTCGTCCTTAGAAATAACTCAACAAGTTAAATAAAATACCCAAACATCACCACGGGAAATTTTTTGGAAAGCAAAATAATTCTACAGGTATCCAAAGATCCACCAAGCATATATAAGAAAGTTACCATCCAAAAAAAAAAAAAAAACTTTTGTCAACTCTTGTCAAACTTATAAAAAGATTCATTTATAACCGGTAAAATCTATAAAAATACAGTTATTTACCGTCATGAATGGATTGTGTAGTCTCCACTTGAAATAAAGTAACTTGTACAGCTTTACAAAGCTTTCCTGCAAGGAGAGTAGCCAAACCCTGAGTTAATCGCCAGTCAACTCGATATTTTGAAGGATAACCTTACGCACGAATCATGAAAATTTAGCATCAAAATGACTTAATCCTATATCAAACACTTGCATGCATACATAAAAGACAAAAAAAAGATCTTTCACCTCCTTGTTAGAAACACTTTGTTAGCTAAGTAGGCAAGCCCCAACTTGTGGCTGTCTTTCTAGTGGTAATAAAACGTTAAAGGAAACAAATACCGTTACTATCTTGGGTTGTTTCGATGTCAAAATTACCTACTTATTTGATGCTGTTTTAGATATTTCACATATAAGTTATATGTTTGTAAGATATTAATTTGTAGAATCAAAGATTGTCTCTCCAAAAAATGACTTATGAAGAGAAGGAGACTCCAACAAACACTTATAGGATCAAATCATGTCGCAACATCAGATACACTAACATGTTAAATCAGAGTGTGTTCCAAACTCAATCTCGGCCGTTGTCAAGACAATATATAGTTTTGTGGTCTTCTCAAATAATTTGATTCTGTCATAAAACTCAATCTGTCAAATCAAGTTTTGAATTTTTCAAAGGACAGAAAAAAAAAATACCTGTAACTCTTCCAAGCTTCCTATTGGTGGACTGGTTTTGGGGGAATATGTTTCTGAAGCATATAAGTTCCTGGAAGGACTACGATGCTCATGGATTTCATGTTCTGCCTTGTTGATTCTTCAAGCGGCTTGAATCCGAAAACTCTTGTCCATGTTTCTATAAGATTAGGAATGGCAGGAATGACCAGCTCCTCGACACCAAGAAAAGAGAGAACCTGGAATTTCAGTCTTTGTTACAACTTTATTAGGCTGAAAATTTAATTTACTCAGCATATGTTAATTGCAAAATGAGAAATAAATTCCGGTATAAATGTAACTTTGATTGAAAGATATGGAAACGTACGTATTGAACCCAATTTAGTAGGCGGCGACACATTCCTTGCCGCCTATAGATTTTACGTGTGCCGATAAAAGGCATTTCTGCAAGCTTCTTCCCATGAACCCTGACGTGATCAACACATATATACAAATAAAATATCTGTTAGGATATATACCCTTCAAATGACACCTACGTACTAGCTACCTCCTGTCTTGATGATTTATAGAAATGAATTAGAGAAATAACCTTATCGATGCTACGGATATCACTTCATCATCCTTCTCCATGACTGCAGTGAAGAAACCACCATGATTCAGTGGTTTGTAGTTTGACCTGAAATGTTTTCAGTAGATGAGGCCCTAAACGCAATTATGTTACCTGCTTTGTCTTTGTCAATGATGATCTCAAAGATTGTATTTTTTTAATTTTAGGAAGTGATTCAGGATTTTCAACACCCTATCATAACAGGTATTAAGTTTTTATTCCTTTTACAATACAAAAAGCATTTTTTTTAGCCAACACCCCGTTGCTTCATGCAGGTCTGTCTTATGATACTCATATATATAATACATATATATATATATATATATATATATATATATATATATATATATATATATATATATATATATATATATATGTGTTAGCGGTAGCATTTGTTGGATAATCTTGATGGGTCATGGACAGTTACTTGTTTGCCCTAAATATGAAGTGGAGATTATACATAGGTCAGCTAGCAAGCATTTATTTAATTACCACAATTATTTGTTTAAGAGTTTAATTGTTTTGTTAATTTATAAATAGTGTAGACTAAAACATATTTCCTGGTTGCTGTGTAAATGACGTGAGAGTCGATAGCTGCGGGTTTAAAGGAAGGGATGATTTCCAACAACATTTATCGCCCGTACGTATCTTATAGCGATACCGATATATAGGACTTTCAAAAAGTGTTGTTGATATATATATATATGTTTGTGGGTACTTTTGAAAAAGTGTTTGGTGTTATGAGGGATAATTGATTTAACGAGACATGAAATTACCCGCAGTTGTATACCAAATTAGGGATCATGTCAACTCTAGTTCTGCGGTCAATAACCGGAAGGAAACATTCCTTCATAACCGAAAGTGCAACAGCCAGTTTGCTATTGCATTTGATCTTTATGGCATCAGTTTCAAGATCCTCGCTCGCATCAACGTGCTTGAGAAGTCTGACGGAAAATCCTTCACCGACTTCAATTTTTACTCCAAGTATGGCCTGAAGAGCCTCATAAATCTATATATCAACAAACAAAAGGTTAGTCACATATAACCAAAAAAACAAACAGAACCAGATGAGTAGTTTTTATTGTTCAATTTGGAATGACATATATCATTTTAGGTTTCTACCTCATGACATGTCTTTCCACATAAAGCTAGATCATCAGACTCTATTTTTGCACCGTTCCTGTCTCCGCACGTTTTATGGACTATAACAAACACACGCACATGATTAGCAAGATTCATCTGCAGATTCTGTAACCAAAATGGAAAGGAATCGAATCCTGATTACATACATCTGTCGTCACATAAGGAACATGACAATATCCAATCACAATTCCAGCAAATGTGTGCCCCATCTCCACAAAATTTGCAAGAACAGTAGATACAGTACCATAGTTCGGAAGGTAAATTCTAAAATGCACAAATTAAAAACATTAATTAATTATAAATAAATACATCTAAATGTAATTAATATAAAGAGTCAAAGAAAACGAAAAAAAAAGACATATATATATATTACTTGGATTTGAAGGCAACTCAAATGGAATCTTGCAGCGCAACCATGGCAACCAACTAGTTCACCATCACCACCACCACATACGTCGCATATATCTTCATTGAAGTTATTACCACTTGCATTGATCTTGCAAACTCCACTTTTTCTAATTTTAGGGGGTTTGCGTTTACGGGTTAGTTTTCGGGAAGGCTCTACGTAAAAATCATGCAATGAAGAGGGACGTCTCACGTCACGCTTTGGTCGTTTTTGTACTTCGGTTTGGTTTAATGGTTCGGTTGAATCATGTTTTCTTTTACGGTTTTCAGTTGGATCCCCAACAGAAATGGAATTGTTTCTTGATTTCTCCCACATTATATATGGACCTGTTTAATTTCAATCTGAAGGTGATAAACCCTACAAAATCAAACTGGAATTAATTAGAATCAAGGTTATCTTCAGATGTGTCTCCTGAAAGTGATTATGTGCTACTCCAAATCAGATAGCTTATCAATTTTATTGCAACAGATGATGAGGAAAAATCAACAACTAGCTACAATTCATTGACCATCATAGCATAAAATCAACTTTCTAGGAAAGCAATTGACCTCCGATTCTTTCAGATTCACAAGAATCTAAGCACCGTTGTTTTACATCCACAAGAATCTAAGCAAAATTCCAGCACACAAATTAAAACAACCCGAATTTAAGAACAAGTAAATGCTAGAATTGGTCTCAGATTTTTGCAAATTCACAAAATCTAATTAGTACAATTCATGCACAAAATAACACAAATTCAACAACAATCAGACGCTAGAACCGCTTCACCGTCACATACACCAATGCATATTTGAATCAAACAATCAAACCGCATCTACTTATAAAATCGGCATCATATGAACACAAATTACAAACCAAAACCGTCAAGAATCAAACCCTACACTTGGCTCAATCGACGCAATACACTAAAACCGAATAAACACGATCTTAAAAAAATCCGAATGCAGAAATTCCGTTTGAAAATATCAAATTTTTACCTTACAAGCTAAAGAACAATGACGCGAACTTGTAGAACGATTCGATTTCAGCGTATCGTTTATATCCGATAAGAAGAAGATTGTGCAAAATATGAGCTGGGAATTTAATAAAGAGGTGACTGAAATTGAGGTGGCAAGGTTTAGAGAGAGATAGAGAGAACGTTTAATGGGGTTTTAGAGAGAGAAATGAGGAGGGCGTTTGTTGTGAAAATTTTGGCTTTTTGCATTTGATTTTTTGGATTGCGTTCACACAGGTGCGAGTATATTGTGTGCTGAGCATCTGCATCAAAAGTAGGCGGGGTTTGTGATTTTAAGGATTTCCTTAAGAGAAATTAAATATACTCCTTCCACATAATTCTAATTAAATATTTGTGATTTTAACGATATTTAATTTCTCTTTCCCTAATTCTAATGTCATAATTCCTAATTCCACATAGTTTTCATGTCCTAGCTAAGATCAAAGATTTACATCGAAGATATATATATATATATATATATATATATATATATATATATATATATATATATATATATATATATATATATATATATATATATATATATATATATATATATACAAGGTTGTTTGTATGTTTAGAACAGATTAATCATATACTTAAACAATGATTAAACTACAACATACCAAATAAGTGGTTTTATATATTTTTGTAACATTTGTCAATATTTAAATATCATTATTTAGCTTTAATAGATAAATAGCTCAAAAATATTAATTTTTTCCCTTTGTTACCGCCTTAAGTCATAATAACTATTTTTATTTTGGATGCCAACTAATAAACATTTATAACACAATATATATATATATATATATATATATATATATATATATATATATATATATATATATATATATATATATATTTACTATCTTATAAAAGAAATCTCACTATTTCTAAAAATAGATTGAATATAATAATATTATTTATTTTAAGACGTTCAAATCATTAAGCTAATAGTACAAGTAGTCATCAATAGAATAATATTAAATTTTAACCTGTGTTTTGAATCCTTATATTTCTCAACAAAATCTATCTCCTTCCCTGAATTTCGAATAATTCAAAATTTGAAACCATCAGAAAATACATGTTGATTCAAATATCCCTCCTGCAGATGACTCTTTCTTAACAGGTTTTTATTTTAATCCTTACTTATAATTGATTTCATCATTTTTAACTTTTTGTATTTTTATCTTATAAATATATTGGATGAAGACCTTATTATATCAGGTTTGTTCCTAAAAAGGTTTTTACTATGTTTCTTTAATGTGTTAACTTTGCAGGTTCAAAGAACTCAATCAAGAGGGCCAGTTTGAGCATTGTATTATCATTAGTTTGTATATTTTGGCATCTTACTTTTGCAATAAAGAACGGTTAAACACAAGATTTGACATGATTAAGGTAGTTTATATATTTTTCATCTTGTTTAGTCTAAAAATGAAACATTTTTCATCATTGGTCCTTAATATCAAGTTTCATCACATTGACTTCCTGATTACGGTGATTATTGTCCTTATTATAAAGTTCTATATAGATTTTGTTCAATATTTTATGGTTTCGAGAACCTAAATTAATATGAATCCTTGAATTACATACCATCGTTGAAAATGTTTTAATTTGTGACCAAACTAGGTTTAAAATCACAATGAACAAGTTGACACCTGAGTATTTTGGCCTTCTCAAAGGCCCATTTATCGACTTTTGAATCACAACACCTGATATTCTAAAGGTTTATTTTTATAAACTATTATTTATATATTTTAGCATTTTACTTAGTATGACATTAAATTAATAAAGGAATTAAAGAAAACGAAAAAAAAAAAAAAAAGGACGATAGACAGTACAAGTGGTTTTGGTATGTATAAATGGGAGTAGTAACCATTTAGGGGGTGTTTGACAAAAAAGCTTATTGCTTCTTAGTTTATTAACTTATAAGTTAATAAGTAAGTGTAGGATAACTTATGAAAAAATGACGTATTAGAGGTTCCCCACCGGAATAAGTTATTTTAATCCAAACACTTTCTTAACTTATAGTGATGTGGAACCTAATAAGTTGTTTTAAAAAAAGCTTAGCCAAACACCCCCTTAATATGGTATGGTAATGCTCTTGAAAAATAGATGTAATTTAATATTCATTTCTCGAAGTGAACACAAAATGGTTTTAACTCTAAAGAGATCAAATTATTCGCCGTCCGCCGCTTTGCGCGGGTAGACAACTAGTATGTGTATATATATATATATATATATATATATATATATATATATATATATATATATATATATATATATACTAGGTTAAAACCCGTGGAAACCACGGGTCAAAAAGAAAAATAATATTATAAATCCAAATATCTATGAAACATCAAATATTTATTAAATTTTATTAAATTAAAAAGATATAAATTTTGTTTTGAATATTATATTGATTATATAAAAAAAATAACATAAAGACTATAAATTACAAACATTCATTTACATACAAAATAAAATCATATTTTATTGTTTATGTATTTAAATTTAAATCGGTCAACATGAATGTCCCACATTTAACAAAATATAAGTATAATTTGAAAGTAGCTCATATACATTCCAAAGTATCATTACTCTTTTAACAATCAAATTGCCAACCACTTTTGACCAAAATCAAACTAATATTAATTAATGATTTGACCATTTTACTGTAGAGATCATCCATTCAAAGATCAAATTATGTTAGATATAATAACTAAGTTAACTAATTTATTTGTAAACCATCCATAATATATGATATTGATCGTTAATGAATATAATGATTCCAGTAAAAGAAATTTGTATTTTGAGAAAATGCATGTAGTATTAGCTAAACTATGTAAAATTTTCATAAATATAACGGACTAATAAGAAATAAACTATATGGTAGAATGCTACGATTGGATATATTATCCAAAGTACGATGCTATATATTGAAGAAAAAAAATATTAAAGTACAATGTTAGATAAAGACATGGATGAAATCATATGAATAACTTCTAAAATTTCATTTGTTTTTAAATAATATATTATCTTCAATCACCAAATTTGTTACCTAAAATAGTGTAGGATTATCCCAAAAGATAACTTAAGGAGTAACTTTACATATGAACATGTTAACCATGATCCCTTTCTATATTTTATGCTTGTTCAATCTTAACACGAAATCCAAGATTTATTTCTTAAAAAAATAAAATTATTTGTTAGTTTACGTACTTTAAAGATGAAATTGATGATCAAATAAATAAGATTCAAAGCATATTCCACAAGCCACCTTCAAATGATAAATAAATAGGAGGCAAATATTATGCTTTACACTTCAAGTACATAAGTAATCATCATTCTTTCCATAATTCCACATATATACATAAATTAGCAAATACACCAACTCTTTTGTACCAAAATGAGTTTTAAAGAAAAATCTGGTGCAGATGCACTTACACCATATTTAATCGCAATAATGGACTAAAATGCCCTTATGTTCCATAACCTATAAAGTTTTTTGTAGGGCTGCAAATTTTTCCTTATGTTTATCTGGTGAGAATATGAAGAGCTCAAAAGGAATATCCCACGCTTGGAATCTAAGCAATCCCATTTGGAAGAATCATAAAAAAATAAGATGCATTATTTAATTGTCATAAACATTAAAAAATATATATATACATATTAAAATGACTATTAAGTACTAACCTTTTCTTCTTTCTTATTCTTGTTGCATCTGCAACTGTTTTCAACCAAACCAATAGGAATAGGAAAATTGCATACACACACAATCACACACACATATAGATCAATAAGCAAATTTTGATACATAACTCAGCTGAAAATATAAAGATATCAGATATAGAAGGAAATTGTTACCCTTGACTAAATACAGATTAAGATGATGAATCTCCATAAGATCTTTAAAAAAGGGTACTTCAGGAACATCATAAACTTCATAATGTACAAATTTGAAATCAAATTCTATTTGTCGGCCAATTAAGAAAAACAGAGAAATGAATTTTTGATGGAATGAGAAGTACTCTGGGCATCCTACATTAGTTATGCTATATTTAGTTTAGCAATCAAACAAACTATTTTCAATTTTGAAATTGGTATTTACATATTAATTTTCAATTAAAAATCCTATAACTGCTTCAAAAGTTCCAATAAATATTATATATACAAAAAGAAAACAATATCAAAACCCTAAAATAATGAATATTAACTAAAATTGAAGTAATTCTAAGTTTGACATTGAATGTTAGAGGAGGAAGTATCGTGTATCAAAAGTTTTAGTTTATAAACAATCATACATAATATTTCCTTG